TTTCTGCTAGCTTGGATACTACTTATAGCACCCTGAAGTGTATAAAATCTGTTAGGCTTGTCATCCTATTGCCTTGCAAGAGTTCCATTGATTGCCAGTGTCTTCCTAAAAGCATAAATGCATCTGTAGTGAAAGTAATAAAATTCATGCTAGTTATTCACCAATTCATGATTAAGCAGATAGGACTTCAACTCAGCAGAGAGCTATAGAGTTTCATTCAGAAGCAATTCCATGGATTGTCTATCAGGATTCATACTGCACAAGAGTTTGCCTTGTGCTTTGATAATTAGTACTTGGGGTGATTATCTAGGAACTGTAGGATGTTGGCTAGATTGGTAATTTAAAAAGAATCTTCAAAGAAGGCATTGGCAAGCTGCTAGTTTTATAACACTGCTAAAAAATGCATGGATGTAGTTAAAGAATGCTTATTTTAAATCCAGTTCCTCATGGAATTAATTAAATTAACCTTGAGTTAGAATGCAGTATGGATTATTAGGTACTGGATCTAGTTTTACAGGTTCCACTTCTAAATAATGTGTGGTGTGACTGTGTGGGGGTGTGGCTGGGTTAATTTTCAAGTTAACTTTTTAAAAACTCCTGGTGACTGCCTGAAGAAGTACTAAAGTACCAAGTAGTAATTATCAAAACATAAGTCAAACTCTTGTGCAGTATGAATCCTGGTAGACAATCCATAGAATTGCTTCTGGATGAAACTTTTCACAGTTTTTTTTTTTTGAAAGATAGTCAGAAGTGATTTACCACTGCTTGCTTCCTAGGCTGAGAGAGAGGAACTGGCCCAAGATCACCCAGCTGACTTCGTGTCTAAGGCCGGACTAGAACTCACAACCTTCTGGTTTCTAGCCTTAACCACTATAACAAACTCATGCTAACTAATAGTAATAGTCATTGTTGCAGCAGTTGTGATGATGATGATGATGTAGAAGTCAGTCTACTCCAGAATAACCCTGGATTTATAGTTAAAAACAGAAAACAACAAAGAGAAAAATTAAAGCATCCAGACAACCATGTCCCACATGCCTAAAAACAAACCACTACAGACAGGGCTCCACAAGCATATTATCTGAAGCCTGGGAGACCAGCTGTTTTTTAAGACTTCTAGAATATCGTAAATATGGGATTTGTATGCATCTTATTCCATAAGGTCAGGCATCTCAACCAAGAAGGTATATTTTGGGGGTCCTGACTGATTCTTTTGATTAACAGGATCCAAAGTGCACTGACTACAGTGTGCCAATCTTACTGAGTGGGAAGGAACCATGGGAACAAGGTAGATCCCCAAATAACCTGACCCTATGCCATTAATTTATTTCTGCTTTCATAATAAGCATTACAGCTTGGAAAGTTTCCTACCCAAAAACTAACCATGACAAGAGGTCCTATCTGTTTTCAACCTGCAATTGTTTTTCTTTCTCCACCAAAAGTTTTTAATGTCTGAATGTGTCTTACTACATGAATATGCTACAATCATATCACTGGCTAGCCTGCAGATGTTAGGGCTAATCTCAAAGACCAACTTGCCCCACTGTTTTGGCTACTTAGCATTTTTTGAGGACAGGAATATATGATATTATCCGTCATCCAGCCTACCAGAAAGGCAACTTAGAACTATCCTTTTGTTACAACAAAAGTAGTGTTCTCTGAATTGTGTTGGCTTTTACCCCTCATTATCCAATGTGCACAGTGTGCTTCATTTCATTGCAGGCAAACACCTCTACTCCAATTGGCTACTATGTACTGTAGTAAGGCATGACTCCTGCCCTATGGTCCCAGTGCTGCCTACAACAACCTTCCATCCAAATAACCAAGGAATACTAAAAAGCTGTGGTTTTTTAAAAATTAATTGATGCTATTCCAAAGCCAAACTTTTTACTTTTCCTTACCAGATGAATTTGACAAAGTACTGCTACTTTCTTTTTCAAGGGATAGCAAAAATAGTAAAATTGAAATTTTCTTTACCAGCCTAGGAGGTGTAGAGAAACAGGGCAGTACATTAGTCAAGCTTTGTGATAAATTGATATGGGAAGGCTGCTGAAGCACAGGAACTCTGTGTTGTGACCTAGGCTTACTGAGTCATTAAAACACACGAATAGTTCCAAAAACCTCTTTTATTGCAACAACTGTGAATTACTTTCCTTCACAGCTGAGTCCCAATTAGTTGCAAAAAATCCTTCGGGATAAGACCTTCGGGATAATCACCAACCTTTATCTCTCTTGACACACTGCCAAAGACCTATTTGGCAAAACCACACGGAGTCCAGGATCAAACAGAGATGCCGATTGGGAACAGATTTAACAACGTTGCTTTTCTGCAAAGGGCCCATGTGCCTTTGCTCCTCTTTTAAGCCTTATGAGAGGAGCCAATCATTTCCAGGCCTTACTCCTGAATTGTCCCTTTTGTTTTAACTGTTCTTGCCTTCTGGCAGCTCTGTGCATGCATGCACTAGGAACAGGCTCCTCCTGTTCCTCTGCCTCTCTGATCTCCAACTCTGGAGGCTCCGGAGTTCACACATAACTACCAGATGGCCCTGTCCCCATCTCTGTCTTCAACATAGACCCTTATCTGAGCCTTCCCCAGACTCCAGGACTGGCCCATGTTCCTCCCCAGCCTCCTCACTGTCCGACTCCGCTGCCAGCTCCACAGGTTGCTGGCAGACCACAACACTCTGGACCAAGATGGTTTAAGATGCATTCCTAGCCAATTTACAGATAGGAAAAAAAGGAGTTGAAGGACTCATCCTGCTTTAGCTTGGTGACTTTAGCCCAGTCATTCTCTCTCAGTCCAACCTACCCACAAGGTTGGATTTTTTTAAATTTTCTTTATTTTTTTTAAAAAAATTGATTTATATGCCGCCCTTCTCCGGAGACTCAGGGTGGCTTACAATGCATTAAGCAATAGCCTTCATCCTTTTGTATATTTATACAAAGTCAGCTTATTGCCCCCACAATCCGGGTCCTCATTTAATCTACCTTAGAAAGGATGGAAAGCTGAGTCAACCTTGAGCCTGGTGAGATTCGAACTTACAGTAATTGCAGACAGCTGGTGTTAATCACAATGCTTTTAGTCTGCCGAGCCACCAGGCCCCTTTGTTGTTGTGGGAAAATAAGAGGAAGATGTATTGCAGGGGTGTCAAACTCAAGGCCCCGGGGCCTTGGGAATGCTTAGATCTGGCCCACGGTGCCGCCCTGGAAACAGTGAAGAAGCAGCCTGCAGTGCCTCTGGCAGTGAAAACAGAGCTCAGGAGGACTGCATGTGGCTGTCCTGAGCTCTGTTTTCCCTACCAGAGGGTTGCAGGAGGCTGTCACAGTCAAAAATGGAGCTCTGAAGCCCGTTTTTGCTGGCAAAATGCTTGGGCCACCACAGGTGCCTCCGACATGAGTGATGTCGAGCTAGCCATGCCCACCCCAGCAATGCCCATCCCAGCCACTCCCACTCCGGCCTCCTGAGGTCAAACACAACCCTGATGCAGCCCTCAATGAAATCAAGTTTGACACCCTTGATATATTGGATATGTTCATTGTTCTGAGCTACTTGAAAAAAAATACTAAAGGCTGTATACAAACAAAAAAACCAACCAAAAAACTGTAATTCTAACCATCTAATCAAAGGACAAATAAATACATTTTAATTGTTATTAATATTTTATTAGGTCTTTCATTTAATATTTACTTGCTGCTTTTCAAAGTGTCTGATTTATCTCATCAAAGCTACGGTTATGAAAACTCTACAGTCAACCATTATGAATAAGAAACCTATGGAGACGTCATATTGCAATGTGCAATATGCCTCTGTGTGGGTTGAATATAGCCCTTAAATCTTCTCTATTGGGCATGGAAGCCCTCAAAGAAGACACCTCCAGAAGCTTCTCTGGTTTTCCAAAGCATTATATCCTTGGAAAAAATAATTCCTACCTGCTTTCTCTTTCGCTGTATTTATATGATAGTCCAATTCACAAATAGTCTGCCTTTTTAACTTACATCTTACTTCTATAATTCTAATCTATGCAATTTGCTTGTAATTCAGTGTGGATGTGAACTCAGAAAATTAAATGGAATAAGTTGTTTCCTGTAAACTTAGCCATGGAGGAATTATCTTCTTTTATTTTGTAGTGGCATTCTAACACTCATCTTAATGTGGGGAAGGATGGGGGAAGGGTTTCACAGCTTCATGAAATTGTACCCTCTAATGGTATTTGTACATTAAACTAAAATGTTGTTCTCTGGTCTATGCTGTAAGCGATGTGCAAGCTTAACCCAACCTTTGGGTTAATTCAGCAAATTATAGTTCATTTGCATGTTGTAGATTGTAGGCAATATTGTCTGAATATCCCTGGATATGCATCACACGTAGCCAGCATGTGATGCATCCAGCCCACAAGCCGTGAGATTGACACCCCTACTTTAGAGTCATTGGAAACTGCCTTATTCCAAGTTACAGCTATTTTGCTATGGAGTTTTCCACTGACCTAAGGTTTTTGTGTGTGTATATATAATACAAGGTCCTGTGGTTATTCAGTGCAGGTTCCAGGACTAGTTAAAATAAAGAATGAGAAAGGGAACACAAAACCTGCAAACAATTTATGCAAAGAACAACAAAAAATTTGGAATCAGCATTTTGGATATTGAAAATACAAAAAAAAAAGGCATCTTTATATAACTTGGTCAAAGTGAAGTGTGGGAAATGTCATATTTGCCTTTTTGGAAGTAAGTCCAATGGCATTCCATAGGGCACTCATTTAAATGAACTTCCATCGAAATGAGTAATACAGGACATGTGCCTAGAGGGACAAGCTTTTTTGTACGCTTGCTTTTCCCTATTTTCCCATGTTAGTTTTCCAAACACCCCCATTGTTTAGGTTTTCCAGCTTGGCACAGGGAAACAGCCAGATGTTTCCTTAGAAAATCTGTTTCCTGTGGAACTCTGGAACTCTCACCATGGTTGGTATTTCCATTGTAACAAAAGGAGAGGTACACATCCTGCCTCTAATAGCTTTCTTCTCTTCACTCTGCCACTCCTCACAACTCATTTCATATTCCCTTCATGGATGGAAGACATTTTACACGCAAACGTCTTTGCATAGTGTGAACAGGTATGCCAATCCCAGATTAAATTTTTCAAGTGGATTTTTTCCACCCAGTCATAACTCTTCTATATCTGAGTAGTTCAAAATTCCATGTAGCAGGAACGGATTCTTTTTGTGTCTGTGTTTTCTGTTAGAGCTCTTTTAGCAAATTTGGGCATGGCATGAAGACACACAAAGAAAGGTTGGCTGGCTTTCCATGAATGTGGAAGGCCTCATTTTGGTTTGAAGCAATAAAAACTAGAAAGGGAGGGGGCAATTTTTGTGGCATATAGATTTGAACAAATACTGCTGATGAATTAAAATCCTTTAAATAGTTCCTAGGCGCTTGAGGCGAGCTGCCTGCAGAAGAAACAGCTACTTTAGAGAAATCAGGAAAAATTCATATTAAAAAAAGCTATATTGTCGTAATCTTATTTTATTTTCTTACACACAAACACAGGGAGAGAAAGAGAGAGAGAGAAATTCACACTTTCTTTTTTCTCCAACCCAGCAATGCCAGCAATCAACATAGATGACCTAAGTGAGAAGGATAAATTGAAAATGGAAGTAGAACAACTCCGAAAAGAAGTCAAATTGGAAAGGCAACCTGTAAGTAGTTCACTCTAATGATTTTCTCTCTTAAATTCTGAAGAATGTTTTAAGAACAGGATTTCAGTGCTTTCAATGGCTGTGTGCGTGTGTTGAAAAAAAATATCTGTTTTGCAATATATTCCATGTGGATTATAAATGCATTGGGATTGAGTTGCTTCACTTAAGGAAGCAAATATTATCTCCTAGTAGGTTTATTGCACATTTTCTTTTGATAACGCTATAAACAGGATTTTATAGACTAACCCCCCACCCCCAATCTCTCTCAAGCAAAATAAATAGAGATTATAGTTGGGTTGGGTTTGTATTCCATTTTTAAAAGGATCAGCCTGATGCCATTCAAAAGTTCTTAAAATTTACAGTGGCAGGTTTATTTAGCTTTTAGAAGTATTAGAAGAATTCTTGTTAATTTTTTTTCATATCAGGGCTACATTTGATGTACAAGTTGCTTTTTGTCCTCTTATTTTTATTGATGTCGTTCTGATATTTGTTTTTAAAATATCACCGGATAAATTATCTGTTAATTATAACTGGATCTTGCAACAAGACATAACTGGGTTGATTGCTCATCTTTACTTTTCTAATTCATTTCTTCTCTCATTTGCTCTATTTCTAACAATTTCTTACTGTATTCTCTGTAGTCAGATAGCAGGCTGTGCCCAATGAGTACAATTAGACTTCATTGAGATTATTCTTTTTGAGTTATTCTTTTTTTTTTCTTTCATTTTTAAATTAAGCCATGCCTATGAGAAGCCAAGTTGGTGGCCTAATTTATGTATTATTATATTTCATAAGTAGGGTTGCCAGGTCTGCTTCCAAAAAATAGCGGACAAGCTGTGTGTGTGTGTGTGTGTGTGTGTGTGGTTAAGTAGTAAATTTTTTTTAAAAAAATTACAATTAAATTATATATTTTCTTACAAACATTTTAACACGTATTAAAATAATCACTTCAAAACTTTACTTAAAATTCAAAACATCAAATATATTATAATAATATGTAAAATATTAAATTACATTTTACTTTGCTGTCGTGTGTATTTTTTATTTGACTGCGCAGCTTTGATCAATTCTTTGTGTTTAAGGAATAATTCTTTAATTTCAGTACAACGTTGAGAAATATTAAAAAATATACAATCATAAAGCTTTTGAATAAAAAAAATGTCCACTATTTTGTGAAAAAAAATAGTGAACATAATGTGAAAAAAGCGGACTGTCCGCTCAAATAGTGGTCACCTGGCAACCTTATTCATAAGCAAGATTGGGACTTTTAGCATTTTTTTATTTTGGGCACTAAAATGCCTAGAAATGTCTCTGCTGGTAATAGCATTTTCATCCTTATAGGAGTGTTTTGTTTACCCATAATTAGTCTATAGCTGATTTATTATTATATTTTACAATACAGAATGGGACTTTTTTTGGGGGTGTGGGGACAAAATTCCCTGAGCTCTTTCTACTGATTCTCACAGCTTTCTCCTCCCTACCTGTAATCCCAACCACAGCCTGGGAATGACTGACTGTGGAGAATGTCTGTTCAACATTCATGGCAAAATGGATGACACAATCACAGCTTAAAGAAAACCCATAATTATCAGGAAAGGAAAGAAGCGTGAACAGGCTAATTATGGGTTATATAAGCAGAGAGTTAATTTTGGGGTGTTTTATAGCTTAAATATAAGACTTAAGGGGCCAAGTTATAGAACAGCATGGAAGAAATGAATCGTCAAACGGCGGAAAAAGTATTCTGAGCACTATTCAGAATTGTGATTCCTATGCTAGATAATTTCCATGACATAAAAATGAGGCATTTACCTGAGTAGGAAATTGTTTCCAGAAATCTGGACAATTGTGTGTTTCTTGAACATGTAATAAAATGGATAAGTATAGCATCACTAGTGCATTAGCAGAAATGACAAATTTATAAAGTTAACTCAATGGCAATGTAAGTATCAGAATGTATTAAATATATGTTAACATTGTATTTAGTATTTGTACTGTTTTTGAATGATACACAATTGCTGATACTGTATTTACAGAGCTACCCATAATTCCAAATAAAAAATCTGCTTTATATTCAGATAGGACAGATTCTATTTCTCAACTTAAAAGTAACATATTTATCTTAACAATGTATTATACATTTATTTTAAATATTATTTTTATTTGATTTATATTAATCTATTCTTCTCTAGAATTTAATTTAATTTAATTTAATTAATTCAATTTATATGCCGCCCTCTCCAAAGACTCAAGGCGGCTCACAATGCATTTTAAAAAATCATTATAAAAAACATTTAAAAATTAAAAACATTAAAAACTCATTCACACCATTCATGGCCGGATCTCGCCAGATCATAAGAGCGAGATCAACAGCCCCAGGCCTGCCGGAAAAGCCAGCTCTTCACCGCTTTTCGGAAGGCCAATAGGGTGGGGATGGTCTGGACCTCAGGAGGTAACTGGTTCCAGAGAGCTGGGGCAGCCACAGAGAAGGCCCTCCCCTGCAGGCCCGCCAGCCGGCATTGTTTAGCTGACGGGACCTGGAGGAGACCAACTCTGTGGGATCTTACCGGTCGCTGGGAGCTATGCGGCAGAAGGTGGTCTTGAAGATAACCTGGCCCTGAGCCATGTAGGGCTTTAAAGATAATAACCAACACCTTAATTGTGACCGGAGACTAATAGGGAGCCAATGCAGCTCGCGGAGAATTGGTGTAATGTGGGTGTACCTAGGTGCACCCACGACAGCTCGCACGGCTGTGTTCTGGACCAACTGTAGTCTCCGAACACTTTTTAAGGGTAGCCCCATGTAGAGCGCGTTGCAATAATCTAACCGTGAGGTGACAAGGGCATGAGTGACTGTGAGGAGAGCCTCCTGATTCAAGTAGGGTCGCAATTGATGCACCAGGCGAACCTGTGCAAAAGTTCCCCTAGTCACAGCTGTCAGATGTTGCTCTAATCTTAACTGTGAGTCTAGGAGGACACCCAAATTGCGAGCCCGATCTGAGGGGGACAATTTCTCCCCCACCCACCAGAACCAAGGAGAAGGTTTAGAAGAAACTTTAACCTTGCTTTTCCTTCTCTCCTAATCTTTAAAAATATCAACAATGAAATGTAAACATCTACAAACAACATATAAACATATAACAATAAACATTTTAAAAACAGCAGTTTGATCTTGGTACATTATCCCATAAATTCCTATGTGAACTGATATTTATATTTATTCAACAGAGTAAAATATGTCTTTAAGCATTGTGTTAAAAAATTGTTTGGGGGCATACAGTAGATCTCCTCTAATTGGGAAGATTTTTTCATTGAAAGGAGTTTTAATTGGCTTTGGAATAAAGCACTTTCGAGATTTTATCTCTGATATCATCCAATTTATTCAGTCGCGTTGGTGGATGATCTCTGGAGGGCTCGGGACAGGGACTGCTCCTCTGTCCTAGTCCTATTAGATCTCTCAGCGGCTTTTGATACCATCGACCATGGTATCATGCTGCAGTGGTTGAGGGGGTTAGGAATAGGGGGCACCATTCTGCGGTGGTTCTCCTCCTTCCTCTCCGACCGCTTGCAGTTTGTGTTGGCAGGGGGGCAGAGGCGTCTCGCATGGGGAGTGCCGCAAGGGTCGGTCCTCTCGCCCCTCCTGTTCAACATTTATGTGAAGCCGCTGGGTGAGATCATCCGTGGTTTTGGGGTGAAGTGTCATCTGTACGCTGATGATACTCAGCTGTACATCTCCACCCCCAACGATGCCCTTGATGGGATGTCTCGCTGCCTGGAGGCCATGCGGGTCTGGATGGGGAGGAACAGGCTCAGACTCAACCCCTCCAAGACCGAGTGCTGTGGCTTCCGGCGCCCCGATATAGTCAGCAGGTGCCATCGCTGACTATTGGGGGTGAATCTTTGCCCCCCACGGAGAGGGCTTGCAATCTGGGTGTCCTCCTGGACGCACGGCTGTCTTTAGAAGAGCATATGACGGCTGTGGCCAGGGGGGCCTTTTATCAGGTTCGCCTGATCCTCCAGTTGCAGCCCTTTCTGGACTGGGACGCCTTGCGCACGGTCACTCACGCCCTTGTTACCTCCCGGTTGGACTATTGTAATGCTCTCTACATGGGGCTCCCCTTGAAGAGCACTCGGAGGCTCCAGCTGGTTCAGAATGCGGCCGCGGGTGGTTATGGTCGCAACTCGTTGTGCCCACGTGACACCCCTCCTGCGCGAGCTGCACTGGCTCCCAGTGGTCTTCCGGGTGCGATTCAAGGTGTTGGTTACCACCTTTAAAGCGCTCCATGGCATAGGACCCGGGTACCTTCGAGACCGTCTTCTGCCACCAATAGCCTCCCACCGACCAGTCCGCTCCCACAGAGAGGGTCTCCTCAGGGTGCCATCGGCCAAGTTATGTCGACTGGTGACACCCAGGGGGAGGGCCTTCTCTGTGGGAGTCCCAGCCCTGTGGAATGAACTGCTCCCGGAAATACGTAAGATCTCTGACCTCTGGGTGTTTCACTGCACACTGAAGACCCTGTTGTTCTGCCAGGCCGGGCTATCAACATAATAGTTTTAAATTGGGGTATTTTAAATTTCTGGGGTTTTAATTGAGCCAAATTTATTTAATCATTTTAAATTTTTATTGCTGTTTTGTCTTGTGTTTTTAAATAGGCTGTACACTGCCCTGAGTCCTTTGGGAGAAGGGCGGTATAGAAATAAAATTATTATTATTATTATTATTATTATTATTATTATTATTATTATTCAATTTTTTTCAAATAAAAGATTATCCAATCATTTCCACTGATGGATTTGAATTGAACAAAGTTGGTTTAAGGCAACTTCATACAGTAAACAGTCAGTCTTAGTCAGTCTTAGGTGAAGAGGTTATAAATAAAATTTTAGAATAGCCATTGTTCATATAATAATGATTATATTATGGCAAGAATGTATATTCTTCCATTTAATTTCTATTTAATTTATATATTTAATGCAAATATAGTGACAGTGATCTGAATTCTGTATGCCACTTTTTGTACAGGAATCATTCATATTATGTACAGCATATATTGTCAACATGCCAAAACACCATAATTAGAATTTTAACTAGAATGCCTCTACAGAGAGTATTATCCTACTTTTGTATAATTCTTATTTACAAATTTATATGTCAGTTTCCAAGTCTTGTTTTCAAGTCATCAAAATGACTTGAACTTTTAGTATCTTAGACTACCCTATCATATCTTTGTACGCCATATGATTTTCGCCATTCCTAAATCATAACGCTATATATACTGTATATCTCTTGTGGGCAAAAATGATCAGCATGAAATGTATCCCCATTGCTGATATATAGTCTAGTTCTGTGGCTTTATCAATGCCACTAGTTATTGCCAGGCACCTGAATTCCTACAAAGGTAATTGACGACAAAGCTTATAGGCTGTGCTTATATGGAAAAATACTGCTTACTTCCATCCTTACAGAACAGCAAGAGAGTTTTATCCAGCACATGGGGAAAAGAATGCTGTTCATTTTATTATGCAACAATTAATTATAAACATTATTCTGGGATACAGTATTTCATAAATACCCAGTATGCATATGTTATGCTTCTTATGATACATAACAAGCAGTGGTGAAATCCAATTTTTTTTATTACCGGTTCTGTGGGCGTGGCTTGGTGGACATGGTGTGACTTGGTGGGCGTGGCTTGTGGACATGGCAGGGGAAGGATACTGCAAAATCCCCATTCCCTCCCCACTCCTGGGGGAAGGATATTGCAAAATCCCCATTCCCTCCACACTCTAGGGCCAGCCAGAGGTGGTATTTGCCAGTTCTCCGAACTACTCCAAATTTCTGCTACAGGTTCTCCAGAACCTGTCAGAACCTGCTGGATTTCACCCCTGATAACAAGTCCTTCTCTTCCTCAGTTTCAAAAACTCTGCATATCAAAGGAATCTTTCCTACCTCTACAAAAGAGATTTAAATATGTTTTTCTCTTTTTTTTCCTTAAGGTGTCTAAGTGTTCTGAAGAAATTAAAAATTATATTGAAGAAAGATTGGGAGAAGACCCTCTAGTGAAAGGCATTCCTGAAGAGAAGAATCCTTTTAAAGAGAAAGGAGGATGTGTAATTGCATAGAAGAATGCAGATAATTTTGAAACTGGGGAAAATAACCTACCATAGTATAGCTAGTTAATTTAAAGCTCAGGTATCTTATTGTACAAATTAAGAGTTTTTTTTTTTTTAAAAAATAAGAAAACAAATGATTGTTTTGTTATTTCCTGAAAACAGTTTTTGCTTACCATATTATTAAATTTCTTTTAAGAGGCTGTTTTGTGTTCTTAATTTCTTGCATTCACTGGTTGAAATTATTATTAACCACAGTATAATTTTGGTTAAAAAAAATCTTAATGAAACAATATGAACTCTTCCCTTCAGAATATAGGATTTTAGTCCAAATGTCCTCATGTCAATGAATATATGCAATGAAATTTCATTTTAATGTATGCCGATTAGTGTACATTCAAAGTAACAATAAAGTTATTCTAAGTCTAAGGCTCTAAGTCTAAGTCAAAGGTTGTTAATCTCCAACTCTCATTAGCCATTGTAGGAGGTTAGCACCCACCCCTTTCCTGGAAGAGTGAAATATTTTGGGAAATATTAAAAAGGCAGAATATTGTATTTCCCTGGATGAGAAATGGATAAGCATGTTTTGAAGCAGCTCCCATCTTCCTGCCCCCACCCTTTGTCAATGGGCCATTAAGGCCTGGGCCAGTCTATTCTACATAACAAAGGCCTACCTCCTTCAGACAGAGCCATAGCAGGAATTGCCAAAGATCCAACAAAGATAGGATTAGCCCTCTACACAATAGCAGCAGAAACTCACCACATGTGACCTGGGAAGCATGTGACCTGGGAAGCACAAGTGACCATCAGCCAGCAAGGCTAGCTAAGATCCCCAGCCCCTGGCAGTCTGACAACCAATCAGGATACTGTTTGGGACCCCAGGAAATGCAAAGCCAGAGAGAGCATAAAAACCCGAGAATTTGCTGTATCTGCCCCTTTTCTGTTCAGGAACTCAAGCCATTTGATCCTGTCCACCATTAAACCATCTTTCCAAGCAGTCTTCATGTTTCCAGTGTCTTTTTCCCCACTTGGAGCAGAACCCAGAAGGATGTTTCTTCCTACACCTTCATGTACGACACCCAGGGGGAGGGCCTTCTCTGTGGGAGCTCCTGCCCTTTGGAATGAACTGCCCCCAGAAATTCGTAAGATCTCTGATCTCCGTGTATTTCGCTGTGCCCTCAAAATCTTGTTCCGCCAGGCCGGGCTATCAATGTAAATATTTTAATTGGTTTTTAAATATGGGATTTTAAATTTGGGGGTTTTATAATTGAACCTATTATTTAATAATTTTAATTATTTTTAAATTTTGTCTGTCTTTGTGCTTTTAATCAGGCTGTACACCGTCCTGAGTCCTTCGGGAGAAGGGCAGTATAGAAATAAAATTAATAAATAAATAATAAATAAATAATGATTGGTCCTGCATAATCTAATTCAGCAACACCTGGAAGATCATAGATTTCCCATTCCTAAAACAGGTCCTCAACTTACAACCATTGTTTAGCAACTATTACAACAGCATTAATAAAAGTGATTTATAACCAATTGGGTATATCCTTATAATCATTGCAGCATCTGCCTAGTCACCGGATCAAAATCCCAATAGTATATATTTTCAACTGTGGTAGTGTCCCAGGATCATATGATCACCATTTGTGACTTTCCCAGCTGACTTCTCACAAGCAGAGTCAATGAGGGAAGCCAGATTCACTTAGCAGTCACATGATTCATTTAACAATTGCAGTGATTCACTGAATAGCTGTGGTGATTCATCTAACAACTAGTGGGGGGGGAGGGAAGAGTGAAAAACTGTGTATGCCTCACTTCACAATGCCTCACTTCACAATCACTGTGTTCAGCAACAGAAATTCTGTTGAAGTTGAAGTTATAAATTGAGGAATATCTAGAAGTAGTACTGTGCAAATCTAAACGAGAACAAGTAACTTATTTATTAATGCTATAGTTTTACATGTGAAGAACATCTTTAAGATGGATGATAAAGTTTGATGAATCAGTTCCCAATTTAGCAATAGAGAAAACAGACTTTGAAAAATGGGATTCTTGAGTTTCCAGGTTTCTTATAGTGCCTCAATAATTCAAGATGTAGTCTGACCATGATAGATACTAGCTCTATTCTTAAATAAGCCGCAAGTATACTTGGAGAGTTTCAGATCTCAGTTTTATACAAATCTGGGTTAGCACCTTGCTTTAAAATATATTAAGTGCAGGATCTAGGGTTAAAAGCTTGGTGGAATAGAGTGATTTTTGCTACTTATACCAAGTAGCAATACCAAGAGGGAAGGATTAGATAGAAACGTAGGGCTACAATTCCAAAATATGGAGGTCCATTTTTTTTTACTACTGGTTCTGTGGGTATGGCTTGGTGGGCGTGGTGTGACTTGGTGGGCGTGGCAGGGGAAGGATATTGCAAAATCTCCATTCCCACCCCACTCCAGGGGAAGGATACTGCAAAATCCCCATTCCCTCTCTACTCCAGGGAAAGGATATTGCAAAATATCCATTCCCACCCCATTCCTGGGGCCAGCCAGAGGTGGTATATATATATATGTGTGTGTGTTTTTCTTCTAGCCAGGTTTTCCCTACTTAACCAAGGTTTTTCTGCAGCACCAGCTCAGTAGAATCACATCCACTCGATTCTGGGCTTTTTTCCTTTTCTAACAGCTAGCAAGCTCTTCCTGCTAGGTGGGAGACCTATATAGATCTATTTCTAGCTCGTTTGCTTTCATCAGTAGGCCACACCCATATCTTATGTATCCTCCCTGTAAAGGTATAGTATCTATTTTCTTATACATACATACATACATACATACATACATACATACATACATACATACATACATCAATATAGTATTTAGGCTTCTAAATTAAAATTATAGCTGTAAAAATCAATTTATGTTATTGAGATGAAGCAGCCCATTATTCCCATAATATCCATCCTGATTAGAATTTATAGACATTGTAGCATAACTGGAAGGTGTAAGGTGGGGTGATATTGATTAACCCCTTTATCAATTCATTACAAATGTAATTAACTGCAGCGTTTAATTTGAACATTTTAAAAAAACATTCTTTTTAGTAGAATCCAAAGTTGGCAGATAGATAATAAAGCAGATTTCCTGTAAAATTCTAAGAACTCAACTATCATCTTTCCAGGGAAAACATTCAGGAAAATTCGAAAACTTGTGCCCTATTTTACTTCTTTCTGAGAGATGCTTATATAATTGGCTAACTCTCCGCTGTCAGTGATTGTTCTGCATATCTCTACATAAACTATTGTGGAGTATTTTAAAGACAAAGCTCGGTATAACTCCTTGGTAGTAACAAAACATCTGCAGGCGGAGAATTATCCGCTGTTATTAATTGCCCTTTTCGAACGCATGCGCCGATGGTGCATTACCCAACAACATGGCGATCTTTCGGAGCTCTCTTTTTAATGGTAAAGAGCTAACGAAGTTGTTAAAACTACCGCTGCGACGTTTTGTTGGCGTCTCAATTGCAGGCTTTCCAGAAAGTTGTTCGCTTAATTCGAGCCACCGCCCTTATAGTAGTGACGCTCCGTCCGAAAGTCATCTATTATACACCGCAGACCATTTTGCTTTAAGAGCGTCTCTGAGAAAGGTACTTGTTTATTATGTGAAAGGCAAAACTAGCTTTTACTCTTACTCATTTCGTTGGTTATAGGGAAGTGGCAGGGGACAGATCGTGGAGTTGGGTGTGTCCAGGCTCAGATCGCTTTGGTGGAAAAAGTTTTGAAGTTTGTCAACTCTGGAATCACACAGTTAGATCGTCCGTTTCACTCATTCGGAGTTTTATTATTGTTCCTTCATATAGGTGGAGAGATTCAGATTTAAAAAGACAAAAGTGCTACACCTAAGTGGGAATTTATAGTACTGTGTGGTAGTTCATTTTATTCCCCCCTCTCTCACAAGAAACTTTCAATTTCTTTTTGAGACACTGCAAAAGCTATTTGAATCCCAGTTGTTTTAGTAATGTTTCATACGATTGTTACAATTATTCATTATTATATACTGCTTATAGTATTAAGTGAAGCATCTCTGTTCGGAGTCCCCTTTTAAAATATTTGCAGGGAAAAAATTAACTCTGTAAGATTTGTAATTTGGATTGTTTGGGCAAATGTCGGTGCTTTTTCATAGTTGTTAGACTTTTGCAAAAATTACTTTTAGTTCTAAGGGCTCATTCCCACAACCAAATTAAAGTACTAAACTGTTTCAACTCCTACCCTCAAAACGATGCTATAGAGCACTGCACACCAGAACAACTAGACACAAGAACAGGTTTTTCCTGAATGCCATCACTCTGCTAAACAAATAATTTCCTCAACACTGTACTAAGTACTAAGTCTGCACTACTATTAATCTTTTCATCGTTCCCACCACCCATCTCCTTCCACTTATGACTATATGAGTGTAATTTTGTTTCTTGTATCCTTATGATTTATATTGATATTGTTTCCTGATTGCTTATTTCTACTCTATGACTATCATTAAGTGTGGTACCATACGATTCTTGATAGACATATCTTTTCTTTTATGTACACTGCGAGCATATGCACCAAGACAAATTCCTTGTGTGTCCAATCACATTTGGCCAATATTCTATTCTGTTCTGTCCTGTCCTGTCCTGTCCTGTCCTGTCCTGTCCTGTCCTGTCCTACCCTACCCTACCCTACCCTACCCTACCCTACCCTACCCTACCCTACCCTACCCTACTCTACTCTACTCTACTCTACTCTACTCTACTCTACTCTAACATTTGCTTTCCCCATTCCTATTTTGCCACAGATAGTTCTTGCAGTGGAAGAGTTACTTCCTATTTGATCTTTCAACTGCTCCTCCCTGTACTTGCTTGCTGTTTGCAAGTTATTTTTAAATACCATATGGCTTTGTTGCTCTTCTAAAAGTGGTAAAACTGTATTCAAAATCAGCCTAGCAAAAGCTGATATGCACCACTGTAGCCCTCAGCAGAGAAATAACAGGCTCTTCCTGTCTCTCCTCTGTCTCCTGCTCATTCAGTTCTTCTTACTTTGCTGTTTAGCTACCGTCTATGTCAGTGGCCCTCAACCTTTTGGACACGAGGAACTGGTTCTGTGGAGAGAGTTTTTCCATGGACTGGAGAGAGTGTGGCTTCAGGGATGAAATCCAGCAGGTTCTGACAGGTTTTGGAG